AAAAACCTCACTGCCAACAAGTCGATCCCAACTCCTAGGAACCCCTCCTTGGGTTTCCCAAGCAGTATCTCCACAGAAGTAGATTGACCGGATCTTCCTTCTGAGGAGTGGCTGGTGAGTTTGAACCACCAGGCTACTGGTTAGGCACTGCTTGTATTTAAATGTTAAGCAAGCATTAACTGTTAAGGACTCTAAGGAATAGTTTGGCATGTCATCTGAGGTTAAAGAATTAGATAGAACCATCTCTGCCATGAAATAAATGGAAAATTTGAATATTCTCAGCCCTAGTTTATAGCTCTGGTAGCATAGTGGCTAAGGCACCTGACTGCTAACCAGAAGGCTGGCGGTTCAAACCCACTAGCAACTCCTCGAAAAGGAAGGTTGGGCAATCTTACTTCCGTAGTGATACTGCCTCGGAAACCCAAGGAGGGGTCGCTATGAGTTAGGGCTGACTCGACGGCACATAACAACAACAACAGTTATTCACAAAGGAGCTGTGCTAGCGTAGTGCCTAAGGCACTTGACTGCTTAGAAGGCTGGCGGTTCAAACCCACTAGCCACTCCGGGGAAAGAAGGCTGGGCAATCCACTTCCGTAGTGATACCGCCTCGGAAACGCAAGGAGGGGTCGCTATGAGTCGGGTGGACTGCACGGCACATAACAACATTCACAACTAATTGCGAAGTTGGTGCTAGGGGAGGTCGATGGCAAAGCTACTCTGTATGATGAAACAACAAAACATTACTCAAGAGAACTTAATTTGTATTTTTTTTAGTAAAATTGTTAGCTCTTGAACTAAAATAAAGCATTACCTTTAACGTATACTTTCAGAAATGTAGATATGTATAGCCTTACAGTAAAGATTTAACCATTCACTAGAGACTCTCAGAAGGAAGGGATGTTTACGCACTGACATTAATATGACTTGATGACAACTGGTTTCACCACAAAATATGGTCAGACTGAGCACTCGATACTCGTCTGGGCACAGTGACTCACAACCCCTCCCCCCCTTCACATATAGTCTATTGTTCAGAAACATGTATCCAAAGGCCCTTTGTTAGAACAATGATCCTTGAAACCGTGTTCGAAAGAAGCGTTGTGAAATGTACAAGTAGAACCAGCGTTTCCGCCTGCAAATACTAAGTGAAGGCGGTAGAGAGAGTGGGCAACAAGTATGAAAGTGGTAAATGTGGAAGCGATAAGCCTGTTTGGAAAGTCGAACTCGGAAGTTTCGTCCCTGTCTGAACACGCCTTCTGGGCAAAACAGGAGAATTTTTCCTTAAATCCAAAGCAACTGGACACCAAGTTCCAAGCCAGACCTCTGCCCCTCTCCAACATCACCTTAGTTACATAAACCCATTTTCTGACTTACCTCTAAGATTCCTCCTCTTCTTATGTTAGACGGCTTCACTAATATAGATTCTCCGGTTCGGTATCATCAGTTTAGCATGGCATACTGCTCTTTTATTCCAAAGCCGACCCGCCCAGACCATCCAAATATTAAGTTGTTCGCTCAATCATAATCACTTCCTATTACTGAGGGTTTCACTTCCGGAATCTTTTTCCAAGGAAACGTTCTATGGTGCGATTCAATTAAAATAACATAGAACGTTTATACAGTGTAAGGTCTCAGTAAATGAAAACGGGATAGAAATGTATTTAAAATCAAAATATAACAATATTTGGTATCCGAGAACATATTTGCTTAAACTTCCGGGTCACCGGTCAACTAAACGGAAGTGATGACACTGGCCAGCTGAGTGCGGCGTCCCGTGATCCCAGGCGACCGCGTAAAGGGGCGGGTCTCTGCATTGGGTAGGTGGAATTGTGATTATTCACAGCCTCTAGGGACAGAGGGCTGGAAATTGTTGTTTTACGTATGTCCGGCAGTGGGCGGGGCTCTGTTGCCCCAGTAACCGAGCGTGCTGTTGGTGGTGGCGTCTCCTTGTTGCGAGGATAACTAATTACTTCTGAGCTCCTGAAATTATGGTGAGTGCTAGGCGAGACCAAAATAACCGTTCCGGGGTCATGGTTACCTGGTCATGGGATCAGATGAGCACTCAGAGTCGTCCCAGTCACTTCCACTCTTTCCCCATTGTTTCTTTTTCCTTTTCCGGGAGCTGTCCCTGGAAGCTTCTCAAGCTCTTCCTAGTTCTTGCAGCACCCCAAATTCCACGTTGATACTGCTAAGATTCTACAGTAATGTAACAGAAAGTTTAAGGGGAACACACCAGGTCTAATAGTCTAAGAATGAGGCATTACTTCGAAAATATTTTAATCATTGCATTTTTTCAAGCTCTTAGCTTCATCTTAACGGTTCATTAAAGGTATGTTGTGGTGGTCAGTGTAACTATCTCAATAAGCGCCCAGTGTCCCTAGATCTTGGACTCATTGGTATTTTGAGTAGCAGATCACTGTCCCACCCCTGTTAAGGGACACTTCACTTTGGATCACCTCTCTTCTAGTCAGTTGATTACCTTATAGGTCCATGCCTCTTAACAGGAATGCCCATCAGAATCACTTAGAGAGCTGCTTGAAAATTCACTTGCCTGAGCTTCAGCCCCCAAAATTCTAAATGAGTAGAGATGGGGCTAGGGTATTTGCATTTTTTAAAAGACTAAGTTTTTTTACCCACATATTTGAGACCACCAGTGTTCTAGTTAATTCATTTAATCTCCACATCTTGTAAGCACTTATGAATACCACACTAGAGGATGGGAAGATGACTGCCACCAGATGTGTATCACTCTTTTTGCCCCCACCTCCTTGCTAAGCAGTTGATGGAGGATGGAGTCTAACAGGAATTTTCTTCATTGTCTACCTTTTGCATGCATGTGAGACAACTGGAAGACTGTGGCTTGAGTCAGGCTCACCTTAGTCATCTTTGCTTTTTAAAACTCTAAAGAGATCGCTTGTGGCACATTTTCCCAATGCAGTACATTGTTTGATTTTTTTGACTGCTGCATCCATGAGCGCTGATTGTTGAGCCAAGTTGAATGAAATTGTTTTCAATTTCATTTTCATCATTTATCATGATGGTGTTTATTGGTCCATTTGGGAGTTTTGTTTTCTTTACATTCAGGTGTAGTGTGTATTGAAGGCTGTGGTCTTTGACCTTCTTCAGTAAAGTGCTACAAGTTGTCTTCATTTTTGTTAAGCAGGGCTATGTCATCTACATATTGCAGGTTGCTAATGAGTTTTCCTTCAATCCTGATGGTGCATTTTTCTTTGTATAGTCCAGCTTCTTGATTATTTGTGCAGCACACAAAATGATAAGTAACATCACAGGATACAACCCTGCCACACAGCATTTCCAAGTCTGAACCACACAGTTACCTGTCCTCTTTGAACAGCCGCCTCTTCGTGCATGTACAGGTTCTGCATGAACATAGTTAAGTAATCTGGAATTCTCATTCTTTATAATGTTATTCATAATATATTTTGATCCCCACAGCTGAATGCCTTCGTGTATTTGATAGAACAGCACCAGTATAAGTATTGTAGCAAAGGCTCATGGCCTTTGTGCATAAGCAGAGGATAGTGGAAATTGTTTGCTCTGTTGGTGTGACTTCCTGACTTCTGCAATTACAGTTACATTATCTGGTCAGCTTTTGTCTACATTTAGTTTGTTACAGTTGTAGCTTCCAGCACCAGAGGTAGGTTCTAGACAAAATTCTCGTTGGGATAACTACAAGAACTACCTTTTTCTTGTGAAACAGAGATACCAAACCAAACCTATTGCTGCTGTTCGTTGTTGTTGTTATGTGCCGTCGAGTCAGACCCTACTCATAGCGACCCCTCCTTGGGTTTCCGAGGCAGTATCACTATGGAAGTAGATTGCCCCATCTTCCTTCCGAGGAGTGGCTGGTGGGTTTGAACTGCCAGCCTTCTGGTTAGCAGTCAAGTGCCTTAGCCACTATGCTACCAGAGCTCCCATTGCTGCTGTTCAGTCAATGCGAATTCATAGTGACTCTATAGAACAGAGTAGAACTGCCCCAATAGGGTTTCCAAGGGTGTAAATCTTTACAGAAAC